TGGGACCAACCAGGTCGTCCTCTGAAGCCCACCCACCCCTCTTAGGTGGCGTCGTAGATCAAAGCAACTTAGATCCAGGAGAGAGAAACTCGTCTGATCTCAATCATCATGTGTGCAAGACACTTTTCTTCACTTCCTCATTCATGTTTTCCCAGTTTCCATATTAGTAATTGTATGTGGCCCACACCTGGCCCGCGTCTCAGGGTGTCACGAGCATTCATTATTTAGAAAACTCACAAGGATCCACTTTTCAAATCATCCAATTCCAAAGACATTGGTGCGACTTTCGCCCATGATGACCAGAGCGTGGGGTGATATAGGATCAATGTCATGACTAAGGCAGAAGAAGCATCTGCTTTCCTACCTCCATGTCTGTTGACACGACCTTTGGTAGCTTGGGGCTTATTTATGGTTTTTTTCTTATGTATAAGTGTAGGGCATGAGCCAGATTCCAGTTGCAAAATAGTAACTGATACATACACACAGAATCTCCAAACTGTAACCTTCCCCAATTAACTATACATTTAACTTTTAAGTTGCTTAAGAATAGACAGTTGTGTCTTGACCGGTTTGGCTCAGTGGATAGAGTGTCAGTCTGCGGACTCAAGGGTCCCAGGTTTAATTCTGGTCAAGGGCATGTACCTTGGTTGTGGGCACATACCCAGTAGGGAGTGTGCAGGAGGCAGCTGGTTGATGTTTCTCTCTCATCGATGTTTCTAACTCTCTATCCCTCTACCTTCCTCTCTGTAAACAGTCAATAAAATATATTTTTTTAAAAAAGAATAGACTGTTGTATGCAAATTAGATATGAACTTCAAAACAATTTATTTTTATTTATTGCTTTATTGGTGGTGCCATCTCATTGGAAAATTCTAAGGATTTGGGGGTAATGTGCTTACTCAACATAGTAGATGCCAAGCACAGTGCCAAGAGCTTTGGTGAGTGCAGTAGATCAGGCATACCTCATCTCTGCTTTCACAGAGTTCATATTCCAGCAGATGAGGCCAATGGGCAGCAACACTCACAATGCTAACAAACGTGGTAAATGCTAGCAAGTCCAGGATTCTGTGAAAATGTGTCATAGGGAATGCCAGCTGCCTGGAGGTTCAGGCAAAGTTTCTTGGAGGAAGTTACATTTCTGCAGAAACAGGCTGCCATCTGCTTGAGGTTGTGCAACTACCATCACATCCCAATTCGGACATGTGGGCATGTTGTGTCTCAGAGCTTGGGTCCTCGTGTGTGAAATGAGGGTAACACGCGCCTGGCAGAGCTGTGGGACATGAGACAGTATACAGGTAAACACCTCTTAGGGTATCAGACATGTAGACAGCCCTAAGCACATGGTGCTTGTTATAATTATACATCAATGTAGGACTCGAAGGAAAACGGAAGGAAAGTTTGGCCACAGCTGGAGATAGAGAGGGGAAGTTTGGAAAAGGCTCAGAGGACAGTCACTCCTCCACACTTGGCAGCCTTCACCTCCTGAGTTTCAGATGTCCGAGCACCCGATGCTTTGAGGCTGTGCTAACGGGTTTCCAGGGGAAGCTGATCAGGACTTTTGGAAGTGCTCTTTCTAGCTGTAGGTTAGCCAACGCACAGGACAGATTTTTCAGGCAAAAATAAGATGCCTGGGACACAGCCCTGTGGCCAGAGGGCACACGGGTTTATCAGATTCTGGCAGGCTCGAGTGACAGACACAGTTTTGTAAGCCAGGTGAAAGGACAAGCGAGGGATGCTCAGCTGGAGGTTTCGGTTAGGGGTCAGCAGACCCCGCGCCACCTGGATGGGACGAGGAAGAGGGAAACACTGGTGCCCCCAACAGAGGGCACAGGGAAGCCGCCGGGTGCCCAGCGCTCCTCCCAGGGCGGCTCCCTCCCCGGGCTTCCTGGGCGTTTGGAGCGTGGCCTGGCCCGCGCCCTTCGAATGGGTGTGGGTGGTTTCGTAAGTGAACGTGACCACCACCGAGGGGGAAGCGTGCGAGGCAGCGGGAGTGAGGTGGGGAGGCGGGGCAAGGAGAGGAGA